TAATAATTATTACAGATGAAGTAGCAATAATTGATGAAATTCAATTAATACGTGACCCAAATAGAGGATGGGCATGGACAAGAGCTTTTCTTGGTATTGCTGCTGATGAAGTACATTTATGTGGTGAACATGCTGCTATTTCTCTAGTATGTTTTATAACTTCTGGTCTATAACTATATGTTAGAATAATTTCAATTCTTTAAATTTTTTGTGATATCTTTATTATAATATAGATTCAGAGTATGTGCCTAGCAACAGGTGAATTGGTTGAAGTAAAAGAATATGAACGGCTGACCAAACTTGAAGTAGAGAATTCTGCACTTTGTTCGTTAAATAATATTCAGCCAGGAGATTGTATAGTTTGTTTTAGTAGAAATGAGATATTTAGTGTTTCTAATAACATTGAAAAACTGGGAAAAAAGGTAGCTGTAATATATGGCAGTTTACCACCGGCTACAAAGCTTGCACAAGCTGCAAGATTTAATGACATCGATAATCCTTGTAAAATATTAGTAGCTACCAATGCAATAGGAATGGGACTCAATTTGTAAGCTCACCATTACAAATTTCAATTCTTTTATATAGTATGAGAGTGAAAAACATTGTTTTTTTCAGACATATTCGTAGAATTATATTTTATAGCCTTTCTCAACCAACTTTAAATGAAAAAGGAGATATAGAAATGGATACAATTTCTGTATCGTCTGCGTTACAAATAGCGGGTCGTGCGGGTCGTTATGGAACAGAATGGAAAACAGTAACTTATAATACATTAATAGAAATAAAATCATCGTAATAATGTATGAAATTTAATGTTACTAATGATTTATATTACATTATAGGGTTTTGTTACAACTTACAAACCAGAAGATCTTTCTTTGTTAAAAAATTTATTACAGCAAAAACCAGAAGAAATTTTACAAGCTGGACTTCATCCAACATCGGATCAAATTGAATTATATGCTTATTACCTACCAAATGCACCATTATCAAATCTCATTGTAATATTTTAAAATAGATTTCACTCGTAATTCATTACAGTTATAACATTTCTCTCTTTTTCAGGACATTTTTATTGCGCTGTGTAAAATGGATCATTCGCTATACTTTATTTGTAATTTAGATGATTTTAAATTTCTTGCTGACATGATACAGCATATACCTCTACCTCTTCGGCAACGATATGTGTTTTGCTGTGCACCAGTTAACAGAAAAGTACCTTTAACGTGCAGTATGCTTTTGAAGGTAAATTAAAAGTTTATATACTATTTAATGCTGTGCATTGAAGTTTTTACGTTCTATACTTTTTGGATTTTTGCGCAGTATGCTCGACAATGTAGTAAAGACAAACAGGCAACAATTTCGTGGTTGCGTACACAAATTAAGTGGCCTCTTGAAATACCGTCAACAATCAAGCATCTTATACATTTAGAAGGTGTATTTGATGTATTAGATGTTTATCTTTGGTTAAGGTAAACGATTTCATGAATAATTTTCAAACAATCAATAATTTTATTTTTTCTTTAAGTGCATTAAGTTTTAATATTATTTGTATTATAGTTATCGAATGCCGGACTTGTTTCCTGATGCCAATGAAGTTAGGGAGTTGCAAAGAGAACTAGATAAAATAATTGACGTCGGAATTAAGAACATTACGAACTTATTCAGAAGGCCTAAAGAAAGCACAAGTAATACTTAAACTTATTATTCATTGCTTATGACATCAAAGATAGATTAAATAATAACATTTTATCATGTCAAACAGATGCACAGACTTACAATGAAGGAAAAAAAGATGAGAAGTTCAATGGTAATTTATTAGGTATAAAAAACAGTAGTAATTTTTATACTTCTGAACAATATTTTATATATTTTACAGATAAACATCGTAGAAAAGAAACATTAACTAATAGTCTAATAGCTCAAGGACTTTTAACGCCAAAAATGCTGGAACAACTAAGAGTGGAATGGTCTATGGTAAAAAAAATATTTCCTTACATTAACAAAAGTTTATGCCCTCTATACACTTTTTTATATAATTTTTTTTACAAATAATTATTACAAAAATTCACAAAT